TCATTAAACCTCTGACTGTCAGCTGGTGGGATTAGCCTGCAGACTTCCACACCTGAGCCCTATGGCAGGGACACAGGCATTTTGATCACCATCACTAATGAATACAGAATTCATATGCAGCTTGTCATTGCTCTTGAGCCTTGAATCACACAGATGCAGGCTAAATAAGACTGATGAGACAACTATTGTAGAAGATTAGAGAGTTTTGACAGTTTCCAAAAATAGCTCACTATTATTGTCAGTAGTTAATAAACAAAATAATACCACCATATTGAGGGACAGTAGGAAACACAAGCACAGAAACATTTGCATGATCTATATGTCAGCTGTTTAAAAATGGAAGAAAGTGACATGTTTTTGTAATATTTTGTACTATGACTGATGTATTTTTTTTACTGAAAAGTGAGGTACTCGGTGAAAGCTGAATTTAGACTACTTTCTACTTTGATACAGCAAAGACCTTCAGTCCACATTGAGCATCAGGAGGAAGGCATTCTTTATGCCTCAGCTTCTTCACTCTGGGGCTGCTCAGAAGTACCTAAAAAATTAGTGACAAAGCCAGAAACAAAACTATGGACCAGAAGAGCCCAAGTCTACACATTTTGCAACTTCCAGTCCTCTTTCTTCCTATAATTTCTTTGTGAACACACCTACTCCCACAGCTGCAACTATGAACTGAAAAAGGTTACTACCTCCAACTCCTCCTGCCTGCCCACATTTCTCCTTTTACAGTGGATTACCCAAATCTGCTAGCCGAATCACTTATAAGATTGCTCCCTAACCCACATTTGTCAAAACCAAACACATAAGCAAAAGTGACCACTGCAGAATGATCACAAAAGCAAACCTGGCCAACCCATGAAGGAGTGCAAGTCTCCGGCAGGAGAGCAAGATGCAGTTTTTCAGACAGCATAGCTGCTGCAGGAGGGTAAGTGCCTCTGCTCCAAATGCAATACAGTCAGAACAGTCCCCTCTTATTTCCAGTCTGTTCCTACCCCTCCAGAGTCTTTTTGTTTTCATTCAGTACCACTTATTTCCTGCCACACTAAAAAGTGGTATAATAAATGACTGTAAATATAATCTCCCATTTTTGGGGTGATTTTAGAAATAGTTATTAAATATCTGTCAGACTACCTACTTCCATTTTTTTCTACCTACTCCATGCCCCCTGAACTCATTACATATAGATTTACTTCCCTTTCCCTGCAATAGTTCTGCTTTCTGTGGCTTCTATTGATTGTCTTTCTTTTGGATCCTCTTTTTATTAAACCTGGTTGTTTTGATGAAATACAGAAAAGAAATGAAGTTACAAGCAGCCTGTTTCCTTGCTTAAACATGAAGCTCTTGTCAAAAGGCTACAACATAGCCTCACCATACATCAAGTAATTCTACACACAAAAAGCTTCTACTTTTCAAACAACAGAAGTCAAATACTAGAATAAAATATAAAATACCCCCCCAATCTCCTTAAGAATTCAACAACCATAGTATAGATAAACCCAGAATTCCAGCATTTAATGCTGCAGACTTTTTTTTCCCCAGATCATGATGTTTCCATATCCACTGACTCAGAGTATCTCTTTACTCTTGTTTAACACCAGAAGGCATGAATGCATTTGCAAAATCTGACTGTAAGGTTTTAAAACCATGTGGCTACTCTACTGAAAGAAAAATTGGCTGCAATGAAAGATCTAAGCTCAAAACACTCTATTAGATGTGCTGTTCTTCCACTTATGTTTTTTAAAGTAGATCTATAGCTGCCCACATGACAGATTAATATTGTTCCACAGCAGTTAGGTGCTTGGCATTACATTTTTGAAGCATCTACAGGCCTTCAGGGCTGAAAGTGTTCACATCTTCAGCAATCTATAATGGTTCCTCTAGAGGCCAGCACTTGCTTCATAATGAAACATGCCTCCATAAATCAGACTGCAGAAGTGGCACTCGTGTACGTCACCATCTATCTTAGCAGTTTCTCTGAAGGATGTTGGGTAAAGATCATCTCCCAGCACTGCAACCAGGGAAAGGACCATCACAGTTGGCATTGATAAAGCATGTGCTACTTAAATCTGAAGACACACTAAGTCTATGGAAAAAAAACACATCCTGCTGGTGTTAGCATGCCTCAGGCAGTGGTAGAAGCTTCAGCAACTCATCTTCAAAAGGCAGAGAGCCAGGGCTCTAGAAACCTGCAAAAATTGGCTAAGCCTGCAGTCGTCTTTTTTTTTTTTTTTTTTTTAAGTTGAGCATCTTCAAAGTCTATGATTCTAACTGTAGGGCACAGCAGCTGCCACTGCAGATTTGATCCTCTCAGCTTTTGGCAGCTCTCAACTTGAAATTCTAGCAAAAGAATTTTTCAAGTTGCTATTATTGCCTGTCATGGATTTATAAATATTGTGCACTATCTGCTGTGGCATGGCTCTCATGGGACACCAGTGCATGCCAAAAGCATAACAGAATGAAAAACAGTTCCTATTCTTCAAATAAATGCTAATTTTTTTAACTGTGCTCACACGATACATTTGGTGATCAGCTTCAATAGTACAGAATATATATCAGAGGCAAAAAAGCTGATTGTCTTTTCCAGTAGTATTCAGCTGCTACTTTCATTAAGCTTGTTTAATTACATTCCAGATGCTAATTTGCAAGTCGATACCAGAGGGTGCAGGACAGTTTGCCTTTGAATCATTTTTTTCTGTGATGTGATGGTCTTGAAGCACACCACTACCCTCCAGTAGCCCTAGCAAGATATTCTGACAATTAGTGCAAAAGAAAGCAGTATTGATCTTGACAGAAAAATATTAATCCTCTACCCATTTTATTAAATTAATCTCCAGGAATTTTAAATTTATCATCATTGCCATTTCACAGCAAATTATGTAAAATATACATGGTGTACTTCAGATTTAATTTGTTTTAATTTCAATAGAAATATCATTTGTTATTTTGTTACTTTACTGGAAAAAACCCACATCTGACTTAAAAGGTAAATAGTTTAAGTTGGCAGCCATAACGCAATATGAAGAGTTTACAAGTACAGTTGAGCTTTATCACCTAAAACTGTGCTGGTTAAGTTAATATGATTACTAAATTGTTATTAGATAACAGAATATCTAGTAAAAACAAAGGAAGGGTTAAGGTGCATGCAAGTCTCAAAGATCTAAATAGGTATTTCAACAAATTGGTAGACTGCATTTCTACATGCTTGTTATAACAGTGAATATCTGCTGCCATTTATGGTTGTGTATAAAGACAGTTTAATTAGGATGACCTTTCTAAATAGGAAAGGTTGGAAATTTACCAATTTTTGGTGCCTTTTTTGGTTGCTCTTACAAAGAATAACTTAAAATAAAAGCTTGAAAACTAGCTGAGACTAAGATGAAATTTTTAGCTTCATAACACAGCTCTTTGACATTTGTATCTTTGAAAGCGACCTATTATGCTGTAGCTGTTGATTCCAAGGATTTGTAGTCCATGTTTTCAGTATGACTAGCATACACACCGAATGCACAGTCACACAAGAAGAGGCTAGAAAAAGAGACTCTCTCATTCTTAGAGGCACAAGGGAAGAGGGAAAAAAAGTAGAGAATCTACCTCTACCTACTGGTTCTTCCCATCAGTCATCCAGCGTAATGCTAATTACAGAAGAAATCTGAGTGCCTATTAAAAATATTCCAAAATTTCTGATGCATTTATAGATACACTAGGGCCAGAAGTCCAGTGTCTTCGGATACTGCCCAAAACATTGCAGCAACACAGGAATCCTGATCTTACAGCATTTTTGTAATTTTGAACACCTACAACTGTATACTGACAGAAAAGGAGCCAGTTCCAGAAATAATTGGAAAAATCGCTTATTACTAACTCTTAGGCAGTTTAACAACTCAAAAAGCTTCTCAAAATAAATTGTTGGTTTTTTGTTTTTAAATCAACTGATATTACACATCACATTTCTTCAGATGTAACAGGGTGTAACATATCACATTGAAATTTAAGTTCTATTAATTTATTTCAGAGGGGAACTCAGTGGACTGATGGGATCATCACCTGCAAGTATACCACAGTCACAGTGACATTTGAAGGGGAGGAAGCAACCCAAAGCAGTTGCAGGACAAAGATGAGGAACATCTGAAGATCTTTTCTGAAGTAAATCAACTTTTTCCTTATCCACGTTATTCAGTGATAATAAATAGCTGTAAGATCTGTTGTATCTGCATTTTAGGCTGAAATGATTCTACTGTTACAAGTCATTTTTAATGGGTTCAATTTTGTGTTTAATTCTGTTTTTTCTTCAGTGTGAAATTATTAATCAATTGGAATGAAAAGGAGCATTCACAGAAGGTCTGAAGAGATTAACATGGTTTAAAAGAGGGCTTGACATTACTTATTCTGATCTTAATCATGACACTCCAGCTTTTAGCTCTCCTGAATGATTCTCTATAATGAACAATCAAATGTTCTTCAAATTTTATCAAGATCAGTAAAACACAAACAACCCACAACTTTATAAATTTTCTGATCATCAGCTTTTAGGTAGATAGTCAAAATAAAAGTGCAGTTACTAGTTCTGAACATACCCAATCAACCAGAAATCTGATTGGTTTCATCCGCTACTTTTTGTTGCTTTTACAATCACACTTTCTCTTTTCAAAATTGAGAGACAGAAGGACTGACTACTGAGGGAAAACCAGCAATATTGACTATGCAAAGGCTGTTAAATTCCTGAAGTCAACTTTAATCAGCAAGTTGTATGTTTTTAAAGCTTTCTCCTACATTCAAATCACATAAGTTTTTCCATACATAAATTTGCAAGAAACTCCATTTTTTTAAGTTTATTTTACCCATCAACTTTTACAGCTTTGTAGTAAGCTGACATTAGTACATTTTAAGTGCAGGGAAACTAGAACCGATTTAACTTTTTTAAAGCTTAAAGCCTCTTAAATCCTTACAATCATGAGAACAGAGGGAAGAAACACCAGGCTTCGAAAAAATATTCTTACCTCCATGTCTGGTTTGTATTTATCTTCAAATACTGCCATAGCTGCAAATGATCCAGAACCTACAGTAACAAAATTAGGACACTTATTTAGCCAGTGTGCTTAGATACAGTACTTTTGTAAAAATAAAAATATCAGCACCATAAACCAGACTGAAGTCTGCCTTAGCTTGCTATACACTCCAAAGTGTCTACCCTCTAAGTCTAGCACCTAATTTGATCCTAAATTTATAGCTAGTGGACACAGACTTGTCATGGTCCCCACTCTGACAGCCTTTTTCATTTTACTATTTTGAACACTAAGATATGAAAATGAGGTTAGAAAAAGCGACCTAATGAATGCCACTGTTTGGGATTCCTGCTCCTCCATTTCTGTCCCCACATTTGTGGGGCCACGTTAGAGGGTATGTCACTTAGTATTAAGACACTCAGAAGAAACAGATTGCTTTAACAAGCTGCCCTAGCAGCGTCACCTTTATGCATGGGGATGAATAAACTAGCAATGATAATAGGGTAGCTGGCTGCTGCCATCAGGTTATTTCCCTTATCTACTTTAAAACAGTTTACTATGCATTTACTTTGTGCCATTATTTTTACATTGAACAATAACAGCTGAACAGACAAAGTGACAGATACAGAAACACGAGTTTAACATTACTTCCCTTAAAGGATGCAGTGCAAGTGTAGTAATGGAGCAGAAGCCATCTCTACCCAAAGCACTGTAACTGCAGGTGTTATAAGTGTGCTTTCTGTAAATTAATATGAAAAGCAGTATGATACTATTTGAAACTGTAAACTTGCTTTGGTCAGAAAGAGTGAGTCTTCAGGAAGATATCCTGTCTGTCCGTGGCCCTAACCATATTTCAGAGCGCACTACTTTTGGGGAGTGAATAAAGTTACCTGCAATTTTTTACTCCAATTAGAAGATTTTTTTGGCATTTATTACTTTTTAACTTGTTTTGCATACTGCTATCTGTTTAGCTGGGTCACAGAGAAAGCCATATTTTCTATTTAAAATGATTTGTGTATATCGCTTGACCACCTCAATGGTTTAGTGAAAGAAAAAGGCAGCGATTAAACAGTTTCAAATGAGGTGTCCTGCTGATTTTATCAAGTCTGCTGAATGTATAATGAAAAAGGAGAAGCTGACAGTGACACTGTTGAGAAAATACAGACTACCTTATCTGAACCATTTAAGGAGGTCCAATTATAGATCAAATTTAAAGGGTAGAAACAGCAGATTTACAGACACAAATCAACGAACATGGTAATCCCAATGAATATGACAGATACTCCTGTTACAGAATATTGCTGTGGTTGAGGATCATTACCTTTACAGTACCAAATACATCACATCTAAAAGCAGTAGGACACTAAGTGTGTACTTGTATTACAGGCAATGACTATTCATTTACACATTGGAGCAATGCATGACTCCATTTTTTAAATGCTGAAACTGGGAATAAAGAAGATTTTTAAGCAACTAATAGCAGAAATGAACCACTGATACAAACAGCTGATATCACAGAACAAATCACAAATAAAAGGAATTTTACTGATCCTTCACACAAGGTCAAAATAAGGTGTGTTCCAAAAAAAATACAAGACTTGAACCGTAAAATAATTCTTCCTGTGGAATGACATATGGACACTTCTAATGGGGGGTGGGTAAGGGGAATCTGAGATGGTCTCAACTAAGACCACATTCTTACTACACTCAAACGAAGGCCTACCATAAGCAGAATGGGAAGCTACAAAACTAGAAAACAATCTTACCCTTGCATAAGGGTTCTTTAAAAACATAGAGTATAATGACTAGAAAACATGCACAAATGAAAGTATAAAAGGTAATATCTGACAGAATTACTACACTAAAGCTACTGAGCTAGGAAAAAGTAGTCTTAATTTTTTGTCAGAAATCTTAAGAAATTATAAATAATGCAAGTATTGCAACAGTCTCATACATGGCTCAGACTGAATTAATTCCTCCAGCTCCTTTTTAAAAGGGGTTCCCAAAAGAACCTGTGAGCAAGAACTCAGTAGAGTTATAAAAAAGAAAAAGGAAAAAGACAGGAGGAAAGGGGCTGGGGGGGACCTTACCTTACATGAAGTCCTTTATACATCTTGTACTGTTAATTATTTATCTCCCTATATTACCAAGATGCAAATAAATGCCAAATATAATATCAACTTTAAATAAATAAATGCAGACAGTCCTATAAAGTAAGTTTTCAAAGAGCTGTTGAAAGTCTTAAGTTATTTAAGCTTACATGTAGACATTTACATCTAAAAACCACAATCCCAAGAAGGCTCTAGCAGAACAGGAAGTAAAGCTGGAAAAGCTTAATAAACTCAGGGTTGGGGTTTTTTGCTCTACTGCTTATAAATCCTAAACATAAGTTTTATAAGCATGCATTTAAAAAAAGTGCCTTAGCAAAAGTCTCACAGCACAGCTCAGCATTCTCTGAAAGAACAGATTTTTGTAATCTTAAATAGCACCGTGAAAATTCTTTACTTTTACTAGCACCAGATGTAAAAACCGTGTTTTTAAAAACAAATAGTTGTATACTTCTGAGTTCCTGCATCAAAACAAATATGCTGTTAGACAACAGCAATATGAACTGTTTTGAAAAATACTAATGTTGTGCACATATTCACCTGTAGCACATTAACTAAGAAAAACCCCTCCATCCCCAGTTTGCCCAGCTGGTGGACTGAAAGCCCATCACTTGATCATCCATGCAGAAAACCAGCGGTGGACAGTTGCTTGTGAGCACAGTTGTGAACTTCACTATCCAATTACACTGACTTCCCCCTACTTGTCAAATTCCACACATGATCCAAACAACCCCACAATGTTCCAAGCAGTTCAATTGACTTGTGAAAGCTATGCATTGTAACAGGCAAGCTAGCAATAAAATATATGAACTGAAGTAAACATTGGAAGTATGGTTTTCTTATTGCAGTACCTATAAAAGCACAGAAAACTTAGATATTAAGGGTCTATAGAGAACTTGTTTGTATGTGGGGAAACAGCTGTTCTTTTGTCCACATATTCAGTGCCCACCAATAACTCATTTTTAACAAGCATGCTTTGCCTTTACATAGAAACAAGCTTAACAGTTCCTAAACAATGTCTGGAGAAAGATGAAATCCAAACATTGCAAAACACTGTCCATTAATTAGGGATAGATGTCCCCACCTCATTCACACAGTAACTGATTTAAGTCACTAGAAGTTGGGATTCAACATAGCTAAGATGCAGCAGTTCAACCTCAAACCTATTGAGACATTCAGGAAAGCTATGAGATAACTCATCATTAAATAGCATCTTTAACTGAGCTCAAAGTAATACCAAACCAGATATTTATCTTTGATAACTTTAGTTTGAAATCTTAACAACACACAACCAATACAGAAACTTTCCTTTGTTGGAATTTTTTTTACAATGTTGGAAGTTTACAACTGTTCTGTGTATGAGCAATACAGATAATTAAAACAAAGTATAATTGGTAAAGCCATCATGTATTTGTATTATATAACATTCAGGAAAAAACCCTTTCAGCTAGATATTCAAAAAAACAGTAACTGCTATGAATGGTTACACTTCAACAACCTTGGAAACAATCGTCAAGAAAGATGCCATATCAATTCCAAAGAATTTACTTTGCACGCATTTTCAGTAAACTACGTTTTAGAAACAAATACTCAGGAAGTATTAATCTAGCATCTAAATACATAAAAATATTGATTGCCAATAATTACGAAGAACTACAGAAACTAAGATGCAGAGCTGTATTCTGAGGCAAATGCTTTTCAGTCTGATAATTAGCATGACCAGGAAGTTATGAGACCCTAAGAGATTTTTTTTTTTTCCTTTAGAAACCATTGGTCATTTCATAAGTTTTCAAAACTAAGTTATACAAAAATTTTCTGGGCTCAACTTTGATAAACTCACTTAAAATCCCATTTGGTCTTTACTTGAGTTGTACCACTTCAATATTGATTTAAAGTGAAATATTATTGATACATAGCAAAAAATCCAGCCAAAAATAATTTCCACAGTGTTTTGCAACTGCAGCAGCTTTTCTAGAACAGATGAACTGGATCTTTTTAACAGAACATTCACTGAAGACAACTTACTGCTAAGCATAGTCCATTTTCATCACCCAAGGACCTGTTTGCTACCTCAGTCTGCCACACTGGAGGATGTACAAAGCCTTGAGAGAGTAACATTTAGCACTTCCTAATCCATCAGTGTCAGGGCTCCCTGACAGGGCATTTATTCACACACTCTCATTGTTATTCAATTTGCTGTTCATTCTAGGTAAAAATCCAGTGATCTCCACAGCCCCATCGATTGGGATCATTTTTCACCCTGGTTCCTGGCTGAGGGGCTGAGTCTCAGCAGCAGTACTGCTTGCTCTGCAGGACGACATTGCCAATGCATGAAGAGCTGATTTATGAATATGAAGCAACACTGGTACCAGGGGACCAGTATCAGCCGCTAGAGATGACTGGAACATACCTACTGCTTCCAAAAGCTGAACTACAGACTTCAAGTGCTTTAATTTTATGCATGCATTTCATTATAAGTCTTGGCCAGAAGCTCTCCTAGACAAGCCAAGCAATCAGACAATCTTGCATCGTTTGCTGAAATCCAATTTTGTCCTTTGTCAGCACAAACAGTTTAATTTGATGTTTTCACTCCTGAGTAAGCACTGAGTATCTTTTAAGTCTCCCTTGCAAGGGAGGACACCACTCTGTCCATCCGCAAACACACTCCAGCTAAACAAAACATACACTCCAGCACATTAAAACAAAAAAACCAACACCTCAACAACCTTTCCTATTTAATACTGAATTTCCAGAAGTTAACTGGCCAAAAATTTAATAAACTGCCCTTAGAACATTTGGAAAAAGTAACAAACAATACATTAGTCTAAATAAGATCAAAATACAATTCCAACTACTATATCTGATTTGACCTTTGATACCTTTTCTGCTGCCTCAGTTCTGTCATTTATATGCATAAGCTAATCTCTTTTTATTAAACTATATCCCAGGCACTGAAAAAAGTATCAGTGCACAAGGTGTAGAAAGGTAAAGAACATTTATGCTGAGAAGAGCTTTGTCTGACAGCATGGACAAGAGTAACATGTAATTACCAGACAGACCTGGTACAGCTGACAGCAAATCAAAGTTTAAGTTAATTGTAGCTTATTTCATTGATATTCTACTTCCTATTTGTTTGAACTACTTCTGCTACTATGTTATTGTTGGGGGGCGGGGGGGGGGGGGGGGGGGGGGGAAGAGGAGTGGCCAGGATTTTCAGGAATTCCACATTTTAAAGCTTTTAAAACATAGGCACAGAAGTAACTACGTACATAATGGAAGCTGTGTGACTTTATTCAGGCAACCAACTACTACCAGCTATCTGTATAGAGTCAGTTGTGGTTTACAGTTTACTACAATATTGGGTATAAGGCAGTTATAAAAATCAGACATTTACTTTTCTTATATATCTCTCTCTCTCTCTCTCAAAGGCTAAACAATGACATCACATGACTGGTACATGGATTTTATTTGCCCAGTAAGTGATTTGCCAGTTCCTAAGGTAATGGCACCATCTATTGGTCCAACACCACCTCTGCACAATTTCTGCAAGTTAACCAGTTCTTGTTATAAAGTTAACCAGATGATTCAGTTTAACAGCAGCACTATTTCAGTAGTGCAAAGGTCCAGAAGAAAAAGAAAAGCCTTTAACATTTCAAAGAATATAGTAAGTAGGTGTTTTATCTAGAGATGCCAATCATGAACAGAAAGAGATAAACTAAAGTTTTCCTATCACAGAGTCAGAATAAAAGCTGCATCAGACATAGGCTGAATCTGATTTACTGATCTGACACAATTTTCTGATGTATTTATTTGGACTCTACTCTACACTTCTATAGCTCTACAAAAACCAAGCTTTCATTTAAAATCATCCAAGTCTTAAAAGAGAAAAGCAAGTCTGAAATGATAGTCATCTTGAACAATCAGAGAGCAAAAATAACTGTAACCCTGGTTATGTTTGGAATTTTACTTTTTCCAGATATGATATTCTCAGTAGGGCATTAACCTTAAAAGCCACAGATGAAACCGTGCAAGAATATTATTAGCTCAGAAGGCACTAGTTTAATCTCCTACCTTTTTTTTTTTTACCCTTTACTCCCAGATTATTTCTATAAGTCACAAAAGAATTCAGAATGAATCAAACAAGCTCAACACCACTATTGAAAATATGCCCTTTACCTAACACTAGGCAAGTTCTGTAATATTCAAGATGTGTGTGCCCTACCCTTCAACAAGGCATGGGCTATTTCCCTTCTCAAAAACATACAAGGATGATGGTAATCACCAAGTCTCTCCTGCAAGTTGCAAAGTTTATTATAGCTTATTCAGGATCCTTACCACAGGGACTCTCCAAGCATCCCTCAATAATTAAGGTACAGAACAAGATTCTAAAGAATTTTTTCTAGAGGACACAGAATAGTTAGAAGACACAGGAGGAATGACAAGTTAAATTCACAAATTAAGATTACAGCTGAATCAAGAGTCTGTATTCTGTAATACAGTGTCTTCCTGAATACACTTATAAGAGGCCTCTAATTCCGTTGTTTACCAAGATCACAGTTAAATGGGTACATTCTCAAGAGCCATTTCACAACTTGAAATTATTGCTACTCCAAAGCAGCACTGAGGAGTTCAAGAGTTTAATTCTCTCCTACCGAAGGAGATGAAGAATACCTACAGAACTGGCAAGTAATGGAGCAATGCTTCTGCTTTAAGTGAGACAGATGAGACACTCCAGAAGAGCTGTCTACAATTTGTCTATGATTTTGCTACCACAAAATACTTATTTCCAAGTCATCCCATATTCTTCTTTATAATTGAAAAAACAGCAAATAAGACTATATTTACCAAGATTGTATTTTACAATATCCCCTGAACATTGCTTTGGTACCCAAGTATCAAAAAGCATACAAAAATCTGTGGTTTCAGCTTTCAGGATTAGCACACTTCCCAATTCAAAACTGAGACATGCACAGTATTGCATGCACATATAGCTCAAATTATTGTCATTACAGAAAACATTACTAGACCGAAGAGCTGAGGTACTAACACTTAATAACCTGACGGTGGGTTACTAATGTCAAGTTGACCCCAACAAACAGAACTACACTTCTTTACCAAGAAGCTCCATACAGTAGTTAAGACCAATTATTGCACATAGCAAGTAAACCAGGGGTTGCTTCACTACAATGAAGCACCTTCTTGAGTAAGATACAGCTGCTGCTTAACAAGAAATACAGAAACACAACAGTTCCAAACAAGCAGCAAGGCACTTCCCCCCATCCCCCCTCAACAAACTACAGAAAGACTTCAGGCAGAATGTAATTCCCTAAGTTAGGCTTTATATGCACCATGACTTAGGACCATCTGCAAATCAAATTCCTAAGGATTTTTTTTATAGCAAGTTTTTGGGAATCCTACAGTTCCCTTGCTTTAAGGTATGCTGGGGAACACACACAGCAACTTTCCTAATAGCAGTTTTCTGGCAGCTTAAATTAGCCCATGTTTTTGAAGTGTTAGAAACAGAGCAGTGCACCTGCCTTATAAATATGGGTACAACTTTATCTTTGAAGCCTGAGGTCTGTACAGCTCCAGCAAACAATGGAACTTAAGTAAAAAAAATTTAAATAATAATTTGAAGTGCTCACGCTCTCTACCAGGCAGTTGTGTTACAATACTGAGGGAGTATCACTCACCCATGGTGACGTAAGGCAATTTGTCAGTTGATCCATGGGGATATATGCTGTAAAGGTGAGGTCCCGTGACATCTACTCCCCCTAAAACCAGGGCAGCACCAATGTAGCCTTGATACCTAGGAGCAAGGTTTATATGTGAATCTGAAAATCCAGAATAAAGCTGTGGTTCTTTTTAATATAACAGACACATGTGACACCTTTTCTGTGATTACACCAGGTACATCTTCATATTAGAAAGACTACTTTTACTACGTCTGAGCAATAGTTTAAATTAAGAAATTTACTAAAATACAGTGTATTTCAGCATCAAGCAGAACAAGCAAGCACTGGACAAGCAAGTGGGCTGGATGACATATTTGTGCTAACGGGGAGAGAATTCAGATTAGTTTTCAAGCCTTGAAAGCTTAATTGCAGATACAGGAATTTCATTTAGAGACTTCAAAGAAAATAAATTCCTTTGTTTCCCCCATGAGATGTTCTTGTCTGCTTTTAACTTCTTAATTTATTATTTTGTGACACTTAAAAAAAATGCAAACTGCCCAGCAATACAGCATTAAATTACAATAATTCAGCTCAGTCACTTATCTCAGTCACTTAATTGCACAAAGCACTTTTTCATTGCTTTATTTTACCTTATTGGAGACTTTCCAATAGCTTGAACAATATCTTTAATTGAATACACTTGTATCACTCTTTTTTTCAACAGAATTTTTTTCTTCTGCAAGACAGTACTAAACAGTACCGGAACACTGAAAGGTTTGGAGAGTATGCCCTCAGTCTAAGGGCATATGCTACATCACACTGCTAGTTGTGAAGTTCAACTGCCATACTGTAATGGTCTGTGATCAGTCAGGCAATCAAAATCTTAGTGTAACTGCAGTACACCTTCCAACTATTTCACTCATTTATCTCACTATACCACCAGCACACTCCTATATTAATAGCTGTGGGCTTCAAAATGGTTAAACATTTTATTATTTTGAAATAAAATACATTTTAAGGTAGTGATTCTATTACAAGTCACATGACATTCCCAATTTTACAAGCTTGCACATTACAAGATTATTACTAGTCCAGCTATATAGCCACAAAGATACACAGCAGCTTTCATGGGTTTGATCAACAGTTTATTAAACATCCTATTTTTGCTGTGTAAACACTACAACGCTGTATAGCTAGAATATAAATTCTCTAAAACATCACAGACGACTTCTCTGCCATCTCAGTTCAAAAGTTTATGAAGCAAAGAGCAATTATTAAATCTTTCCTAAAATCTTGTTATGGAGGTTAAGTAGACTAAGGAAGGACACACCTTCACAGGAGCTTACATTTTTATCTGATGGTTTTAACAGCATCATTAATAAGAAGAAACCCATTCAGTTACCTGAAAAGCATTTGCTTTAGCATTCGATTAGCTGTGACAACTCTTGGAAGTCGCCCAGTAGATAGTGAATGGAGCTCCAGATTGGAAGAAATCAGTTGAGTTGTCATATCAGTATCTGCAGCTGTTCCTGCACCACAACAGCTGAAAAATATTATGAGCAAGTTAAGAAAACGTGGGGAATACTGGGGAAAGAAATAACTCTACACTTAGTTCAATGAGCAGAAATTTTCTCATTGTAACATTAAGAAAGTTAAGTTCTCATACAGTAAATATTTTCAGAGCATGAAACAAAATAGTCTGTTTAATTATAAATGAACTAACAGAAATCTCCAAGCCTTGCTAATAAATTAAGTTACCATTTTAAAGTTACCTGAACATTGGCTGTAAGCAAAGGATATGGCTAAAAATCCCAATACTATTACCAATACTGCTACACAATAAACAATTTTAATACTTACTAGATATTAGGGGAAATGAAGTGTATTTTTGAACAGTTCTTGTCAGCAACAACCATTCCTTCAGTTGCTCTCGTATCTGCTCCGAGGACTATGCCATCCTACAGACACACAGAATTATTCCCAGAGCCTCGGTCTCCCAAGGGGACCTTCCCGGCACCGACGGCGAGGTCGGCCGCAGGGCCCGGAGCAGCCCGGGGGGCCGCAGAGCCGGCTCCGCACAAGGCCAAGCGTGACTCAGC